ATAATCAATCAACATACAATAAGGAGTGGAATGATAACTGGAACGACGAAACAACGAAAAAAAAAAAAATCAAAGATAAAGTTTGATTCCTTTCAAATTTGATGGTTATGGTCAGCTATTTGAAAATGAATGATCATGATGATAATGAGAAACGACAAGATTATTATGTGTACAGATTCAATGAAATTATTAAGGTATTATAAATACAAACTAATTGCATTAAAAAAAAGGTGGCCAATTTCAGTTAAGAAATTGGATTGGTCATAACACACCAGAAGACAGACACCATTATTATGATCAACAATCAACAGAGAAAAACATTTAACAAAAACGGAACAACGAATTTCGTGACCAGTAAAAAAAAACGTTGACATGAACGATTTGTGATTTTTGACCGGAATCAATGTAATGTCCAAGTTAATTTCTACAACATTTTCCATCATTTGGGTAAGACAATTTTCCACACACACACACACACAGACACAATGGATTGACCAATCAATAAAATGCGTGCATGTGGTTGGAAAATGTATTACTCAAACTATGGCATCCTACGACTTTTTGATGGCCATCATCATCATCATCATCATCGATGGTCATGGCCGGTTTAAGACATTCATCCATTCATTTGATTGAATGGATGGTCATCATTCATTCGGATGATGATCATTATTGTGTATGCCATACAGAAGCATAAAAATTCCGATTTATAATACAATATATAACAGAAGGACAGAAGTTTGGTCACAATGTGTACAGATAACACACCAATAGCAACAAATGCATCTGCTACTGCACGAAGTTTGTGCGTGTTATACGATAATGTATGTATCCATTATTTATTGTTGTATATTATAAATATGGCCATCAGGTAGTAAGCTACATAATAATGGTAACGGCCATTTATTCATTATATGGAATTTGGAAATTTTCATACTTTTTTTTCGTTCATGAATGACAATAACAATGACAATACAAATACAGAAAATGTGAAAAGCTTATCTTGACACAAACAAAACAAAAAATGATGATGATGATGATGATGCTAAAAACTGAGCGTATTCAAAGAGTCGTACCTGTATACAAGTCGGTAATTAGACAGGCAGCCATATCATTGAAAATGGTATCATCCATGATTGCCGCCAGAAGTATATCAAAAGTTTTCAGTGAAAAAAAAAAATAAAATAAGAAGAAGGAAATACCAATTCTCATTTCGTTTTCAAAGTTGAAACTTTTTTCCTTCTCCACACCAGATCATCAACATCTTGGCAAATGAACCGGGGGCAAAACGACGGCAAAGAATCTTGAGGCCAAGAGGAAAAAAAACTAATTAGCAGATATATTCGTAAAGTGAAAAAAAAGAGAAGAGATCCCCTATTAATTATTCGAAATAAACTTTGCTTCGAATCGGCTTTTTTTCTTTTGAACTTGTTTTTTTGCTTCAACATTCGAAAACAAAACAAAACAAAAAAAAAAAAAAATCATACAACAGACAAATGATGAAGGAAAACGATGACAAACTTGAAAAAGTGAACAGATAACAGACAAGATGATGAAACAAGATGAATGAATAAATAAGATTTACATGGGTCCCAGAAATATTTAGATTATATTTCTAGGTCGATAACATATCATCCAGAACCTAAAAAGCATCGACATTCAATTCATTGTTGCTGTGAATCGAATTTGATCAATCATCATCGTTGTTGAATGTTATCGAATCAAATTAAAGGCAACGAGAAACAACATTTTGACCACAGGCTCAGGCTATACCACAACAATAACAATAATTACGGTGATGATACCCCATGTGATGTAATAATATAATGATATTCATTTATGATTACAATGAATACCAGATGGGAACAAAAAAAAACACAAAGAAATTCAAAACACAATGAAAAGAAAATAGAAAGACAAGACAAGACATTACGGTAACGGTTAATGTTCATCATGGGCCATGTCAAACATCCATACACACAATTTTATTTCGACAACATATTATCATCATGATAATGATAATTCTTGACAAAAAAAAAAAAGAAACGGTTTACAATAAACAGAAATAAATAACCATCAAGCAGTAGTGTATGCACAAATACAATCTGATATTATCGGTTGGATTTTTAGATGAGAATCATGGAAAAAAATTTAAAAAAAAAAAAAAAGAAATTCTCATAACACTAGAAACCTGAAACATAATCAATATATGTATATATATGTTTGGCTGTATATAATCATTATATAAGAATTGAATGTGTCTTTTCACTTGTTGCTAAAATAAAATAAAAAAAAATTATCGCTAGTTTCAAAAAATCCTCATCCTCATCATCATAATATTTTCAAATGAGCGAATCAGTGCTAGAAACAAAACAAAAAAAAACAACAGCTTTTAAAATCCGATTTTTTTTTCATTTAATAGATACCATGTTTTGACCAATAAGGATATTATTATCACTATTATCATCATCATCATCATCATCAGCAAAATTAAAACGATAATAATAACCATATAGCGTTATTTCTTTTTTTTCTGATATTATGAAAAAAGCTAATAATAATAATAATAATAATCGGATCACACTTTGATGATGATGGATTATGATGATTATGAATGATTATTATTAAAGAAGATCATTGAATTGATTAAGTGTTATTCAGAAAGTAAAGGGGAAAAAAAACGTTTTCCATGCCAAATACACAAATGAGAAAAAGAATTGAAAGCCAACAACAACAACAACAACAACGACAAGACGTGTGAGAAAAAGGTAAGGCCAACAACAACAACAACAAAAAAAAAAAAACTGGTCGCGATCATCTTTTTCGACTTCGATAGAATGATGGATGCACACACATCTTGTTGGCCACTATGGAACCGGCTTATGTGGTCAACTATTGAGCATTGCTTTCTGTATGCCCATTTTTTTTCGTTCATCGTTGTTATAATCTTGTTCACCGTCTTTATTCTCTTTTTTTTTAGATTCGGACACCTTTCACCATTATTGAAACCTTTTTTCTTTTCTTTTCTTTTCTTTCACTCATCTTCATTCATTCATCCATTACTACCTGTCGAATGGTCGAATAATAATTATTGATCATCATCTTTGAACTGAATTGATGCGGAATGAATGTATGTGAAATGGCGAGAAAAAAAATGTTCAAACCCAAACAACACACAACCATCACATCAGCATCATCATCAGAAGTGATATTTTGACCTTGGTTAATTTCATTCCATTCAGTTTCATTATTTTGTGGCCAATGAACCATTACAAAGATAGTCATTTTATACAGAAAAAAAATTTGAATCCAACACTACATCATCATCATCATACAATACAGACCATTAATGCATGCTGCATAAATTGACTTTGAAATTTTAAGAAGAATAAATTTCAAATAACTGGATCATATTGTTGTTGCTGCAAATACGATTCACAGGTGTGTGTGTGTGTATGATTGTGTTTATGAGAAACAATTTGATCCATAAGCTACACATTGTTGCACTATTCAACATATACATCCACGTGGCTGAATGCATGCATGTTGACCTAATCGTCGACATCGAACATGGTATTTTTAGATTATTTTTTTTTTTGTAATGTAAAGAGGAAAAATAAAACAAAACGATTTCATTGATTGATCTGTCAAGAAAAAAAAAAAAGAAAATGCATCATATTCACTTTGATTCTCAAGACAACAACAACAACAACAATGTTTGACATGTTGATGTGCAGTACCACAAATGAATGACTTACATACACAACTGACAAACAATGACAGTTGAATCATCCAAAATGATTCTTGATTCAAAAAGGTACTTGAGCTAAAATATAATGAAACCAGTAACAAGATGCAGAAAGATAAAAAAAAATAAAAAATAATAATAAGTAGATCAATGATCAATGATTCAAGTATCATCATTGTCAAGAAAAAAAAAGTAGGTATCCCATCTACTCATACTTGCTACTAGTTTTTATTAATTCACATCATCATCATCATCATATCGTCGTGTGATGCCAAAAAAAAAACCATTCTACTGAAAAAAATTTTGAACCACAATCGATGATGATCACCACTTGACTTTATCAAACCTGGATGCAATGAATAATAATAATAAATAAAATTCATAATGAAAATAGCAGATATGAATACATGATTACTATGCTGTGCATGCAGCACACATCCATCCATTAGATTAGATTAGATTAGGATTTGATTTTTTTTTTGAAAATGTAATCATACAATCACAATAATAATTTTGGGCGATAAAATACCATTACTATTCATTCTCATTCATGAATAATATTTTGTATTGTTCGGCATTGATCCAACAACAAAAAAAACTCTAGTGTTAAACTACATCCATTCACATCGTTTTGATCATCATCAAAATGCGAATTTTGTGGTTGTTTTAAATTGGTAAAAGATAAAAATAACCCTAAAATCTATACAATACGGTCTTATTGTATTTGGCAGACCAAGCATCACCACATATGATGATGTTGAAAAAAAAACATATCTTACACATATTGTGATTCGCTATTCAAATGAATAGAGATTTAAATTCAAGAAAAAAAAATGAAATGGTAAATAGTGACAAAAACTTTCCAATAATATTTATATTTATATATTCAGACGGATTTATTTTTGAACTACATCATCATTCATTCATTATTGGTTACAATCAAATGAACTCAATAAAAAATGATGATGACAATACATGTATGGAGTTGGAAAAAATGAAATGAAATAAAATAAAATAAAATAAAATGGCCTGTCATTTTCTATACTCATTCACTATTCACCATCATCATCATATGTGATTTGGTTCTCAGACCAAATGTATAGCAATGATAAGCAACAACGAAAAAAAAAAATCCTCAAAAGTGATAGAAAAGTCATCAAGATAAATTGATGAATTCAATAACACTTTGTGGACTGAAAAAGGAGAAAGAAAGAAAGAAAGAAAGCAAAAAAGAAAATGAATAAAAATTTACATTGGATTTGTCGAATTCCAATAAATATCTGGCAGCCTGGCTGACATGACCTCGAAGATCGATGTGATAAGCGATGTGTAGAATAGAAGTGAAAAGGTTAAAGGTGTTGTTGCCAGATATTTACTCATTTTGGCTATTTATTCGGGGATTTTGTTGTTGATAGCAACGATTATTATATTGTGGTGGACAGTGAGGTATGATGGTGATTGATAACAATTATCAGATCAGATGCGATGAGATTATTTATTTCGAAATTGATTGGTTGCTTGGCTGGACAGGCTGAATTGTTGTTGAAATTCAAAAAAAAAAAAAAAAACAAAACGGATGCTTTGATATTGATCAAGGTAGAACAAACACACACACATACACACGCACAAACATTGAAAAATTATCACCAAAAATTGAAAAAACCCTGTTTGACAAATTGTTGCATATATAACGGTCACCCTGTGCTGGTCTTACACAACCAACACTTGATAATGGGCAGCAGTAGAGAAGAAAAAACAATTCGACTCACACCCATACACACCACAAGAAAAAATCAACATCATGCACAATAAATTAAATAAATAAATATTGTCTTCAGATCAATAATCAATGATTGTCATGTTATTATTTTGAATCGATCATTATCAATGGAAAAGATAATAACAATGTCCAAACATAAAAAAAATGTCAGGACATTTTATCCAAACAACAACAGCGATTGAAGTTCACGGTGATTATCATTAGGACTGTTGTCACACGGAAGTAGCCACAAAATAATTTACAGGCAAATATCACCTGATTTCAGGCCATGGCTAAACACACAAACACACACACAAAAAAAATCATTAGTGCTAGTAATAATCATTGCAATTAAACAAACACTATTTGACCGGAAGGAATCGAAATAAATTGAGAAAATCGAAATAAATTGAGAATTGGCTTGTTGGTCGTTGGCTTGTAAATGAATTTGTTGCAGTTTGATATTAAACACAAAAAAACAAAATTTCTGTATCAACGAGAGACAAATATGCATCCACTACGGAGATTGAACACTGAATGAAAAGTTTGGCGGGCTATTCATCGAAACACTGATCATGGTAGTTGAAAAACCACTACCACCACCAATATCATGACGTGGGCGACAATAGCAAGAAGCATGACTGAAACACACAAATCATGATTTCCCCTTTTTTATGTAGTAGTAGCATAGCACGAACATTGTTCATTTCATTTTGTTTCATCTTGCCGAAGGAGAGTCCATTTGAGGATGTCGGTTTTTTCTTTGTGTTTTCTTAATTAAAAAAAGAAAAAAAAATATATATAACAGGTTCCGGTAGAACCAGCAAGATTGTATTGTACGTGGTCCAAACATTCAAAAAGATTTAAATATTGCTAAATTATTGTTTTATGATTTTACCTTAAAATAAATGAACACATCCATACATTCAAATTTATGATTGATTTGAATGAAAATTTTTAAATGCTGCCATCTACAGTGAAATTTCATCATGATTACCTGAAATGATAGACTTCTACTTTCATAATAATCAAAATTATTATTATCATCGATGATGATGATGACATTTTCCGTGTTCATTAAAGTTTGAAAATTTCGTAAATAGAGATCATAATAACTGGGAAAAAATCTCATCGTTTTGGAAATAAAAATGAAAATTAATTATTACGTGGGAGTCGTTGTTCGATCGACCGGATCGATTTGAAAATGTAAACAACATTGTAAATGTAATTGAATGACTGAATAATAATAATAATTATTATTATTAAAAATCAATTTTAAATCCATTTCTAGTATAATTTGTTTCATTAACAATTGTTGACACATTCACTAATCAAACAACGAACGCTCATGGCAATCAATTTGACCGAAAAAGATTCATTAATGTGTTGGGAATTTGCTTTTGTTTTCATAATTGTTTCTCACTTGCATCGAATATTTGATTCATCAATATAACCATGACTTGTGCCTTCACATCAAATATCGATCGATCGCAAAAGAAATCATTTGAATGGATATATTTTGTCATCATTATCATCTGATCTAACACACCAGTTTTCGCAGGCATATCTCAGATCTATTCTTTAGCTACAATGGAAACAAAATAATTTTTTTTTCACTGCATATCAAAACGATCACGATCATCGATGATGATGGTGAAAAAAAAACGGCCAGATTTTTCGATTATGATGATGATGATGATGAGATTGATCATATCATATAAATGAACAAGAGATGATGATGATGATGATGATCGTTTCTCATGGACAATGGCCATCTATCATGTATTCAATGTAACTATGATGACGATATTATATTCATTCACACGACATTAATTACATTTTTTTTTCTTATTATTAGATTGATTTGGCCAATCGATTGATGACATGAATATATATCGTGATCCAATAACTGATATATTCATTGTGTCAATATCAATCTAAATATTTTGAATTTAGATCGACGAAAAGAGGAAAAAAGAATGATTTCATTCACTAGGATGTAGGAGAAAATCAATTAACAATCAGGCCTATAGGCAAATTATGATTATCAATTAAATTTTGAAGTTCATCACCATCATCATCAACGAATCGAATCGAATCGAATCAAACTCGATTCAATAGAATTGAGGCCGACACCTTGTTATTATTATTATTATTATCATTATGATGATTACTATGGCGATAATCAAAATGTTCAATGTCAATTTCATCATCATCACATATATCCATTTTATAATAATAACTACTATTCAAACGCATCGTTGTAATCAGAAAAACGTTGTTCACATCAATACAAAAAAAACGAACATTCAAATTTATGTAAACATTAAATGTTGCTAATGCTACTCTAACGGATTGGGGAAAATCGATATCCGTTTTTTTTGAACAATAAATGCGATCATAGATATTATATATCTCACGATCAATCCATGTCTGATAGTAGGATAGACGGACAAGATTATGAATAATCCAACAACAACAACAACAACATTAATTAGTGAAAAACTCACCATAATGATGAGGATGGCAATATATTGATTGAGAAAGATGAAAGGATGAATGTTTCAATACCTGATATGAACGAATCGATCGATTTTATATCTACAACAACATATATTACGATATAACGTTTCGTTCGTTTGTTTTTGATTGATTGATGGCCGATGTCGATGTTGATTTTTCTCATTTTTTTTCTTCTTATTCATCGTCATGTTAACAAAAAAAATGTAAAAAAATAGGTCATTTTTTCGGCAGAAAATGAAAACCAACATGAAAGTTGAAACATTACAAAAAAAAGAAAAAGAAAAACTATTGAAAAGTGAAAAGATTCCGCTTTGGGCTGTTTTGTCGTCATTTTTTTGGGGCCTGTGATCCATTCATCCATATCAATGAGAGAAGTTGGATATGTTGTTTTTTTTTTGAATCTATCGCTTCCACACGATTTACAAAACAACAACAACAACACTGCATCTTCAATCAAGTTTAATCTAATATAAAACTTCTGATGATGATGAACATAATTAAGAAAGCAAAACTAACACACACACACACAAACACAGACACTGGATTGATTGTTGAATAAAGAAAAAAAAATGAGGAAAATCAGTCATAATTTCTGAGATATTAAAGTCGACGAATTTGTTTAGTTGTTTGAATCGGCGAATGAATTTTTAAATTTATGATGATGTGTTGTTGTTGTTGTTTTTAGTTATCATAATGTTCGCTTTGGATTCATTTATATGCTGTTGTGTTTCAAAATAGCTGTAATTTTTTTGTTTTGTTTTGTTAATCTGATGATGATGATGATGATTTCTTCAAATGATAATCATGTCCAATATGATTCATGTGAATTCATTTGCAGCTTTAATGTAATTTTTTTTTGTCCGTAAACATTGATTGATCTTTCGATTTAGATTGTTAATCTTAATTTTATCATCATATCCTCATAATTTTCATTTTCAGCTTAAGCTTTATTATTAGTCAAAGTTGATCCAATTTTTTTTTCTCAGACACACCATCATCTGATTAATTAAAGGTGGATTAAGGAGAAAACTGTAGTTTTCTTTTATATTTATTTTATTTGTGGAAAAGAAATTAACGCCAAAACGAGATTTGATTACATTTGTCGGTAATTAAGCGTTCATTATATTTTGGCGTTTGGCAGAGGCACAATAATCATTGGATTATAAGTAGTTTGTTTTTCGCATATATATCGACGAATATATTAGATCCGTTTAAAAATTTTCATATCGTGATCATCATCATGAATTGACAAACAAAAGGCATAAACAACAACAACAACAACAATCATTATCATCATGAACATAATTTTCAAATTTTGGATTAAGAAAACAGGGTAACCTGTTTAAAAAGAAAAAATATCGAACAAGATTGTTTATAAATGTGTACAGTGGTAACTCTTTTTTTTCAACTGATGATCTGTAGTCATCAAACTGACCATCATGTTGTTGAAATCAACAGGATTTCATATAAAGTAGCTATTTTAGTAAACTCATCGTTAGCCGATTGTATTGCAAAATAAATCCGTTGACAAATACATGACCAGGTTGATTACAATTAAATCGTTGATCCTGTATGTAATTATTTTTTCCATATAAAAATTTCATAGTTTTTTTGTTGTTGTTATGCAAAAACCCATCACTGTGTGTCTTTTGGTTGCGCTTGAACTATAATAATAGAATGACCATAATAATTATTACAACGAACAGAAAACAAGTGACATTAAATTCAATTAACATCATCAGCAGATTATCAACAGACAATAGAATGATGTGAATCTTTTTATATGAACACAATGAGATGCAAGACTGTATTTTTAGCCAAAAATAAAACAAAACAAAACTATTCATTCATTGCAAAGAGACTAGATATCAATTTACACAGGATACACAACAATTATAATAGAAAAAAATAGAAACAATTAATTATGGTACCTGCAAAACTATGTGATGCAAAAAAAAAAAAAAACATATATTCATACCGAATCCAATCCAAGAGTTGTTATGCTAAACAGATGAATTACAAACACACACACACACAAACACGAATTAATCTTTCACACCAGTTCTATCACAAAAAATTGCAACTAGATTCATCCATCCATGATTGAATTCATTTTCTCCCATGTCCGTCCATCAAATCATTAGCTAATTTGTTGTCATAATTGTTTCAAATCACATCAACTCTATTTTTTTTCTGCTACTGGTCTGCAAATGTACATTAGTCTTGAATCTTCCGAATATGGACATGAATAAAAAATTGAAGTTCGTATTTCGTTGTATTTCACATCAGAAAATGTTTGTTATTAAGAAATTTTTCACTAATGACATTGTTTGCTTGGAATATATATATGTTTTTAGTTCATTTATCGTCGATCATATCAATAATGGTAAAATTAATCAATTAATCATTGAATTGGCTAAATCGATTTATGCCTTCAAGTCGATATGAATTTTAATTGTTTGATAATCATTTTGATTACGCGATTGATAACGAAAACAAAACAACAACAAGGTCGTAGGCCAACATCATTATTTTATTGCTTCGAGCGGCATTCATTTTGATTTGTGATAAAAGTTTGAAAAACAAGCTTTAAATACAAATACAAATTATATTATGTATCAAATTTACATGTCACATTTCTTTATTGATTGATCGCATCATATACAAAGTTTCAATCAATGTTGCATGTGACCAACTCTGTATCGTACAACTGTGTTGACAATATGAACCATTCGAATTGGTTAGTTCAGGCAATCCAAACCATTGTGTTTGACATAAATATTCAAAATGTCTGGACAATATTTGTCGTTCAGAATCATAGATTTTAGCATCTCCTTTGTTGAATATCAAACGAGCCATCAAATAATAGCCCATCAACCATAACCATTCCTGCGAAATTAATAGGCAAATAAGTTCGTATCAATCACTCAAATGAAAAACATACCGGTCCATTATGATAGTTGAATCCATTGGCCACACTTGCATCATTCGAATCATTACTATTATCGTAATCGCCTCTATATGTCCAATCGCTAAATAAAATAGAATTGATTTGAAACAAAAAGAAATGAAACGAAACACGATTACCATACCTAGGATCAAGTGTTTTAATTCCAAATGGACCCACCAACGTTTTCGAAACAATATCTAAAGCTTTGATTGCATTTGATTTGTTAAACATTGTGGGTGCAACAGTCATTGCAATCAAAAAATTTGGTCTCAATTGATAATCCATCCAACAAATTGTTGATCCAAATGTATCTTTATAAATATGACGACGATTCACATATTGATCGCTGCAATCGTCGCTGACATAGAAGTGTTTTTCAAAATTTTCACAAATTTTTCGACTCCAAAATCTAAATGTCCATGATTCATCAGTTGAACTTACACCTTCATATGGATAATGATTATTCTGATGCAATGTTGCCAAAAATTCAATCACTGATTGTGACAATGCAACAATTTCGACAGCTGAGCCATCTCTTGGTGTTGCTGGTCGTCCACGATTACCAGCTTTATCGGATGAACCCATCTTATCCATCCATGTTCCACAATTCCATTGATTGCCTCCATACACAAATCCTGTGCTACGATCGACACCAATTTGGATGTGAAAACCATTTTTGGTCATATGAGCATCGATTCCGGTTCCAGCATTTCTTTCAACGAAATCAATACCATTAAAATGTCTATTCAATGCTTCTTGCATCGTACGATGTAATGGTTCAATTAGACTTTTATGTTCATTATTTGATGTTAATGAAGCCAGCGAATCATCTCGAGGGAAAATTCGATAAACATTTTCATTAAGTATCGAATGACCATTTGGGACTAATTGAATATATTCTTTAATGGCTTGTAGCCACCACCATACAGCATCACGGCAATTAAAACGGCAATTATTTCCACCGTCCAATAGGTTAGGAATCAGACCATGACGTAGACAGCCACCATAGGCTAATATAATAATTTTAGCTTCAATAAATCGTCCAGTTAATAAAGTTAATCCTTTCAATGAGATGAATGTATCACGACCCCAATTTCGCATATATCCAGTACTAAAATGTGGTAATCCTGCAGCCATTGTCGGTAGATGGGTTGAGTTCAGACTTTTTGACATTGCTGAAGGATGCATTGGGGGTAATGGCGAAGGAGAATGTGAACCAATCAAGGCGACACCACCCAACGTCAATCGGCGAACGAATTCATCGCCATTTCGAACAAAATCCGAATGTAGCATTCGAATTTTATCCAATAACATTGTCCATAATGGACAAAGAATCGAATCAAAATAACGTGGAATCAGATATCGTGGTAATTGGCCTAATGATTCGAAAGCTTTTTCCAGCCATTTGGACAAATCCATTGTTTGAGCGCGTTTGGCTAATCGCTGGACAATATAATTTGATAGCCAATTTCCTTGACGTAAATTTTCACACAGTGGATGTCCAAGATCATTATGGGTGCGAATTTTGGCCAAATAAAACATGATGCCTGCCAGACCACTGTAGACTAGTGGACCATTCGATAGCTGATAAGTGCCACTGGAATTTTCATCAAATTCTTCTTGTTGACATCGAAACAAAATGTAATTCAAATCAATGAGGTTCAATTTGTTGACAATTTTGAAATATCACTATCAATCAAATCAAATTGATTTATTTGGTTTTTGATGAAATTCAAAGCATCATTTTGTCGAGGAAGTAATGTGAAACTGAAGGCAATCACTGAAGATGGTGGAAAATTTTTAAACTCTATTATATTGAAAATGTTCTCTTCATTGTTGTTTCCATTCACTTTGACCATTTCACTTTCAGTTCCTTCTACATTCAAATTGACAAGTGATTGAAGATTGCAGAGGCCATTAATAAATTTTTCATCTCGTTTGAAATCATCATCATCATCATCAGTGGATTTGATCATTTGAATTTCGAATAAAATTTTCTCAAATTTTCCCTCAATATTTAATGGTGCCAAGTATTGGCTACAGTTTTGATCGATGGGATAGAAAGCAGTTCGAGCAGCTAGAACAATCGATCGATGAGTTACTGGATTATGTCGTGTTATGACAATTGTATCTCTATCACGTTGATCAACAAAAGCTTCGGAATATCCACGTGAATTCAATATATAATGGAGATGATTTAGAACTTGTTTTCCATGTAAAATCCCATTCGATAATCTCACACACATTTTTGGATCATCATTCCAGCTAAGATATGATCGTTGTTCATCGACAACATGAATATGATGTGGTACTAGTTCGTCGTAGCCACGATTTGATCCGGTTGCTGAATAAGTCATTGAAATCAATGCACTACTTGGCAATGGATCATAGGCGGTTCGTCGAACAATCGGTGATTCATTATCATGAGTTTGATCAAAGAAAATTGCATGGGTTACGGATGGTATCATTGGCCGTGAATAAAGTATTTCTTCTGTGTCGCCTGTTTTTATAAGATCTAAATAAGACAAGAATAATGAATAAAACAATTACTATTATTAGTCATAATTATCATTACTTTACCTGGTATAAATGAACCAACTGGTTGACCACCAAAACGATAAACCTGACGCTGAAGTTCGAATGGAGTGCTGGCCGACATTGCCTCACGAATAAGAGAATTTATTCCTAATTTATTAACGAAAATATTATCCAAATCTTCACTCGATGTAAATAATTCAGCTATCAGATAAAGATCTGGATTAACACGACGAGCCACATCAATCATATGTTGAGCAACATGAATTGGAGTTGAATGACAATTATCTAATCGTAATCCTTGAAAAACTGTTGCCATTTGTGTGACATAACGTTCCATATATGACCATAAAAATGGCGAATCATTGGCATTTTGGCCATAACGTAATTTGACTGAATCACCCCAACAAATCAATTCCCGACGAAGATAAACTTGAGAATCTTTTTCGGCGAAATTCCTTAGTGGATCATCGCCCATAACCCAACCATTATGAGCCATATAGAAACAACAATTCGAATCATCATACAGTTTTGATTCATTTTCGGCCATTTTTTCGCCGGTAAAATCGTCATTGTTATCGGTAAAATATTGCGTTGTCAACGGATGTTTACGGGTTAATTCAGTCACTTTGGGTCCGTTTGGATCGAATCGTTCATATTGTGCGCCTTTCAATACATTATCGATTGCCGAATTAATATGATGGACCATCTGTTGACGTTTATGATCATTCAATTGAATCAATTGCTGTAGAAAACGAGAGATGGCTTGGTCCATCCAAGTTCCAATCGAATCTCGAGTGGGTTGGTAATCAATTTGATTTGTTATGAATTTAAATGCATTGTCCATATCCACCGTACAACTTAATCGACGATATTGTGGATCTTGTTCCAAGAATATTTCAGCGAAATTATCATGACAATTTTTTTGTGGCAATTGAATTTGATCGGAATCACAGTTCGAAGGATCACAATTTGCATAAATCAAATTTGTAAGAAATTTTTCAAATTTTTCCACCAATACGGACGTATTGCAAAGATAAAATTCTTCCAATTTGAGTGAAGGCAGATAATGTTCATGTATTATATTTCGTATGATCTCCAATTGGTCAAGGCTATGAATATCTGAAGTGATTGCTCGATCAATCCAGCAGCCATGTTCAATATCTAAGGTGACATTGTATAACATACGATCAAGAAGAAAAGCTGGCCGTAGCCATGGTGAATTTCGACAATTATAAGCCGAATCAGGATGTTGCTGTAACCAATGTGATTCATTGGCAGTATGATTAAGCACGATATCAATAATGGAAATAACACCATGTTCTTGTCGTAACCATTCGATACATTTGGAAACATTATCAATGGTACAGTCTTCATTTGCGTTGATCATAGCTTCAGTACGAAACAATGGATTTAATCGAAGTTGATCAGCTAACGAATAAGCTGAATTAGATCCACCAAGCGTTTGTATAGGAGTCCAATGTATCATATTGTAATTACATTGAATCGATACCTGTAGTTTATCTTTCCATGTATCGATTGGGCCCATTAATTTGGACAAAACCGTTTGACATTGCAATGCATTTATGGATAAGCTAATTGGCTCTTTTGATCTTCTGATGATTATTTCGGGACTGACGACAATGAAAAAAGATCCGAGCACTTTACCAGTTTTATCATTTTTATCCACATAAACAAAATGAAATGATCCGGAAGACTTTAATTGAAGATTTTCTCCAATATCAATTTCTGTGAGTTTAGTTCTGTAAATTAGAAAATGAGTTAAAATTTGATCAAGATCATAATAAATGCTAACCTGTTAAACTGGGTATAATCATCGGTATAATTGGTTTTGAGGTTAATTTGTCGTCCATACAATGATGAGCCAACCATAAAACGTATTCGGTTGTATTTTTCACAACGAAATAATTTCGTTTCATTAAATCCATTCAATTCCAATGAATAGATGAGCAACAGTCGATTGTTGTCGATTTCCGATCGACAAGATTCCGAACAGATTGATTCAAATGACATTTTTTATTCATTGACGATGAGGATGGATGTGAATGTATGTGATGAATTCAATTGTCAATGAAGATGAATCTTATCATGAAATGATTTAAATTTTTTATACAAACTCATTTCTTTATTATCATCATGATTATCATCATTGAGTCGGTGATGTATGCACTGCATAAAGATGATTGTTTAGACAAAACTTACATGGATAAAGTCATTTGAATGTCGTCAAAGTTATATTCGATTATTCCATCAATGAATTCGGTTATTCAATATGATTATTTTCGAAAAATAATCACGAATCTAGCCATACGATTCTGACACATTGCCAAAATGGGAGAATATTATTCTTCGATGTTAGTGGCAATGTTCACCATGAGATGGCAGTTAAATCATCCTCATAATAATGTGTTCGAAATGTTTTTTTTTCGACAATTTTCGAAATTGATAAAACTAAAGGTATTTCATTCTATTTTATTCTGTAAAAAAACGGTTTTTAGTCATATGATACTCAACTCTGCGGTAATCATCAACAAAAAATAAACAAACACATAAACAGTAGTCTACAAGATTAACAGTTTGTAAATTCGTTCGACAATAACAATAAGAACAAAATAAAAATCCGTTCTCACGATCGGCTAAATGTCAACAAAGAATGAATGAATCTCCAAAAAAAAAAAAAAAAAAAAAATCAAATTCAATTGCTTGATTGATTGGTGACCATCAAAAAGGTAAAGAGTTGGTTTGTTTGTTTGTTTGTTTGACATGACCATACAAACAATTGTAAAAAGTTGTTTCCCATCAAAATTTCTCACATTTTCATGTTTTTTTTTGGCAGATTGGTTTCTATGGTTGATCGATTTTTATCATCAAACAACCCATCATCGTCGTGTTATTAAAAATGAAAAAAAAATTCTCACCAAAAAAATTTGTCTGTACAAATAAATCCATTAGCAAACGACATCATGGAATGGTGGACTGATGATGATGGCTACAAAATATCGTAAAAAAAATCTAAACACAACGAATTCACACACATTATTAGCATTTCCGTTCTTAGAAAACTGCCTAATCTGAACAGTGAATGGTGGAAACTATGCATTTGTGAAAATACAAGAGAGAAGGAAAAAATGGCGCGCACTTTCAGTCGAATCATTTGAATGTTTCAGATGACTAAATAGGAAACAAACCTAAATCAACCAAGATTCCACATCAAAACTTACATCATCGACAAAATAAAATTGAATCATTTCGAATGAATGAAAAAGAATGGCAACTTTGAATTGTGATTTGAAAATTGGCGACACAAATTCATTGCAATCATCAAATGCCACCACCAGTACAAGCCACGATACTGGATGCCACCACGAAGCTGCTTCATCCATCCATACACATCAATGATGTGTACATGTAGCGACAGTACACAATCCTGTTTTGTGAAGCAACAAACACATGCAAAAACATGAGAGAGATTTGTGATGGATACACACACACACACACATCGACAGACGACCGTTGAATTTATTTTTTTTTTGCAAAAAAAAAAACAAACTCTTAACCATCAAGTTCTTATCGCAAACATTTGTCAAAAATATTCTCACGATGAAAATTTTTTTTTCTCTTTTCTTTAACTGATTTCATCATCAATCTATACAAGTGAAAGTATTATATTAATATTAACATTATTTATCTATATTGACAACAAAAGAAGCCAAAAATAAGAGAAAAATTATCGACCGGTATTTATAAAAATTGTGGTCCGTTGAATTTTTCTGATCAATCATCAGTCTGATTAACCGAATCAACCATTAATCGATCACCGTTCGTTTGGGTAAGTTTTATAACGATTCTTTTTTTTTAAATTTAATTTAATGATATGATAATAATTGGGAGCCAAGTCATTTGGTCATTGGAAAATTCATGCCAGATGTCAAATATTGCGTGCTCCAAATATCAAAGTATGTTTGAAATGCAACAGATGTGTCTATGTGTTTATATTGTTCACAAATATACACACACAATGTAAAATGTTGAAAATCTCAATAGTCGACTATCATTATCATTCGAATCGGGCATCTGGTTTTTTTCTTGGTTAACATTTTAGCAACTCATTTTTACATAGGGTCGAACATCTGCTCCCATTAACCACGAAAACATTGGCCATAAAATTTAAGCCAGCCAAGCAGCAGTTCAGCTAGGTCATGGTGGTTCATATGTGTGTACATAAAATGAACGAAATCGATCCAGCAGGCTATTCAGTTTATTAATTTCAAACAATAATACAACGCGCGTAAAATTTTTTTATTTGGCGCAAAAAAAAAAAAAATAAAAATTCATTCCAATTAGATCGTATGATAAACGAAAAACTCTGATTTACCCTGTTAACATCATGAGATGCTCTTGACCATTATCAAGATGATGATGGTGATGATGATGAAACCGGTCTGGTTTCCTGTGTATCTTCTGTGTATATTTCGCATCGATCAATATCAGAATGTTTATGTATTTTCAAATTTTTCTTGCTTTATACCTAGCAACACAAGGTCTTTGCTTGTGATTACAGCGTACGTTTATTAGTGATTGGGTTGTTTTTCACATTTCAAAGTTAATCGTTCATCAACCAAGGTGTGTGTGTATCTTTCCACCAATGTTTCTTGTTGGAATGTTGTAAATATTGCCATTCAAACACAGACAGAGGGAAAGACACAGAGTTTGGCCCCTTATAAACCACACTTTAGCCAATGAATTTGCGAAACCTCGCCCTAAAGGGTCTGATGATTATATCGACATGCACACATGAAACCATAGTAGAAAGTTCGCGCTAAAATGTTTCGCGCTTTAGCCATCATTGTTTCAGCATGACTAGCTAGGTACCTCTCTCTTCTTGTTTGGTTAGTATACTCTGATGATTGGAAAGCGCATATCGTCTTTAGAACGACTTGGCTCAAAACACACACATGTTGACATTCTGGTGTTTGCGGAATGATTGTGAATTATTATTATCCATTTTTTGTGTTTATATTTTGTTTTCATATGTTTCATAGGTTTCAACAATATTTTTACCTCATTCTTATGATGATTATGGTAATGGTTTGATTAAAGACACTTGAAAAAAGTTTTAAAAATGTCATTATATTATGATGAAAATTCTGAAACTCAAGTTTCATCAACCACAACTATAAATCTGCCATTCGAATCGATTACGGGTTTAACGGAAATTGATTGTAATACAACTACGACGACACCATGTTCATCGGTGAGGATTGTCGGTGATAATTCCTCGTTACAATCATTAAAAATGTCTTCAAATGGGAAAAAAGTATTATTGGAACGAAAATTGAATACTATTCAAATATCGAAAAGTAATATTGGCTCAATTTGTTTGAAAAAATCTGTTAATCGTGGACGATGGTCAAAAGAAGAGGATAATAAATTAAAACGATTAGTGGAAAAATATAATGAAGATTGGTATCAAGTTGCGACACATTTTTCCGATCGTTCCGATGTTCAATGTCAACAACGTTGGTGTAAAGTTCTCAATCCTAGACTAATTAAAGGACCTTGGACACCAAAAGTATTAATCACAAATTTTACTAATTTCAATAATTCAAATGTGTTTTGTAGGAGGATGAAAAAATCATCGAATTGGTCAAGAAATATGGCCCCAAAAAATGGACCATCATAGCGAAATATTTGGATGGTCGAATCGGTAAACAATGTCGTGAAAGGTGGCATAACCATCTGAATCCCGATATTGTAAAATCTGCATGGACTGATCAGGAAGAGCGAACGATCATACAATCACATACTATACATGGCAATCAATGGGCAAAGATTGCCAAGCTATTACCCGGTCGAACTGATAATGCAATCAAAAACCATTGGAATTCTACATTGAAACGTAAAGCTCAAGCTATGAAAGAAGGTATCCCATTTGCCGAATTCAAGAAACGAATTAAAAAGAAAAAGACTTCCACTTTGACAACAACAACAACTAGTCCTATGGTAAGAAACACTATTGTCAAATCGATAAAAACTAATCAGCTGTTTATTTCTTCTGTAGAAAAAAGTCGTCACATCAACGTTGATTTATTCGATTACAAATTTGCCGAATAATAACACTAACAACAACAATAATGAAACAAACACTGTAAATAGTACGTCAAATACCGACGACGATTTAAATGATTTTAGCGATCTTTTCGATTCGAGCCAAAGAGAAATGCTTGAATGTGAACTATCCGAAATACAGGATGTAAATGATCTTGTTTCGGCCATCAAATCATCACCATTACGTAGTTTGATGATTTCACCCACTAAAAATTCAACACTGATCAATGATGATGATCATCAACAACGAATCAACACTGATGCTAGCTGCTATATTGATGCATTCAGTAGTGGATATCAAACACAGCCAGACATGTCGAATGTTTCATCATTCATTTCGCCAATCAAAATGAATATGACTGATGATAATGGTGAACATCAACCGTCAGGAAAAAAACCATTCACTCCGTTACAATTTGATACGCCAATATCATCTAAAGTTATTACGAATTCAATATCAACACCATACCTCTATACACCACCATCACAATCGGATCATTCGATTATGATGATTAAATCGAAAAACAAAGAGGTAACCTTCATGTGTATGGTTCCATTCTTGTTTAATCCTTTAATTATTTTTTAGAATGTTTCACCTTTAAAAACAACGATGAATCATGGTCGATCAAATCGAAATAAACAGTATGCGATGATGGATGTAATGCTAAGTAACAGTAGCAATCCATTCATCAATTCATGTGTTCGTTCGCCGACCACCGAAACGAATGAAAAAATACAAATCGAATCGAATAGCGAGGAAATTTTATTTGAAACACCGGTAAGATTTTTCCATAATAATATATTCCATTCCAATTCTGATTGACATGATCACCATTTATTCAGAGTAAATCATTCATTCAGGATGATCAATTATTCTCGCCACAATCATCATTCGTCATATCGACAATATCACCCACTAAATGTATGTCACCTGGTGTGGGAACATTCTTGAAAAAGCAACCAGTATCAACAGTCAACAAGAATATCCTTCATACATCTCCAACAGTAACCAATAATAATAATAACAATGGTATTATTAGTCAAATGGGACCACCATCATCATCATCATTGATTGGCAATAAAACAGAATTAGTAGGTCAATTGAACAGTAGTACACCATACTCGATGGCTATCTATAACAATAATGCATCGATAATGGACAATGGACATAATGATGGTTATATACCATTGACACCAATGTCTAATATTTCTGTGATATCTAATCCATCCGAATCCAATAATCGAGATATTGTAAGTATTAATTTTCCAGCAACACATTCATCATTTTATCAATCATTAACCATTTTTCTATTCAATTCTATGATTTATTTTAACGTTATGCTTTCAATTTTTTTTTATCAATTTCATTATACAACAACAAACGCTTTAGTCATATATAAATAATCAAATGCATAGTGTTGGGGAAGGGTTAGCAGCCGAACAATTATTGGAACAACATAATAATGTTCCAATGTCATTGCCATTGACAAACAATAATGTTTCATTTAATAATGATTATAACTATAATTATGTAATATCTGATGATGATAGTAGCAATAGATACATAATGACAACAGCCAATAATAACATAAATACAGATAGTTTCAATACAATCCATTATAATAATAATAATACAACCCTATCGATCAATCAAAACCATGATCAAATTAAATTAATTAAATCTACAACGACATCATTATCATCATTGAATGGACAATCCATTGATTGTAAGTTTTTTGGTATTTGAGATTGCTTGCTTTGTTTTTCACTGTTTTTGTTTTGTTTCGGCACCAGCAATATATATCGGTTTTGTTTGTATTTTTGCACAATCACACACATTGAATTGTCCTTTCAATACACAAGGGTTGCACATTCTAATTTTTGATCGGTTTTCAAGCAAACTTGATGATGATTCCTTTCCTCAACACTATGTCACCAGACAAAAAATTTTCATTTCCTTCACCATAAATGTCTTGCTTTTTTGCACTGCATGTTTCACCTGCATGTTCATTATCATTAGAGAGATTCTAACTGTTGATCTATTCTCATCATTAAATAGACGGAAAACGTGAATCAATCAGAGGAACCAAATACATCGACAATAATTACATTGACAATGCCATCATCGTCAATGGACACAACAGCTTATTATCCCATACAATTGGTCAATATGGGACCGGTAATCCCATTTCAAACTGCAGCAATACAAGAATCGGACACAACAACCGAACCTCGACCAAAGCCATTGTACATCTTACCAAAGATGACCAATACTACCAGCAACGAAACAGCAGTAACATTCAAAAGAACATTATCGAACAGAGTTCGTCGTCGACGAAAACTTCGTACGACAAGATCTCGAATGCGTCTTTTTTCCTCGGACCAAGTCAATTCGGAATCAGAAACAACCATGGTAATCAGTCCCATCACATCGGACAACGAATCGAACATGGAACTGAAACATCCCAGCAATATTGTGGCCAACAACCAATGGTTTTTATTGGCAACCGGACAAACAGCCGCACAGAAAGAGGTGACGAAACAAGCGCGAATTTTTCTTCAATCGAAAAACAATGTTCCTCTTCATTGTTTACCGGAACAACGACGTACACCAATCGTTCCCCTCCTTCGTATGAACTGTCACAACAAAAAACAGTAAAATCATTCGATAATAATCATCAACTGACGAAATACATTTAAAATTTTCCGATGAATCATTCGGATCGATTTTTTTTACTTTGAATTAATCACACATCAAACAAACTTTGAAGAATATTTTTCTCTTGTTTTTTTTCCATTATATATTGTTTTCATATTTTACTCTTGCCCATTTTTTTTAACATTCTTTACCTTTATTATTCTACTTATCTAAAAGTGTATTGTATTGAATAAAAACTATATTCTTTGCTAATTTTTTTTTTATTTCGATAAAATCCTAGTTAATATGGTGAAAGTTATTCAACCATCATATGAATGCACGCAGTTAGTAACTCCAAACATTGTTTTGGTGATGGAAAAACAAATGAAATTTTTTTTTTATTATGGTGAAATTATTAATCAAAATACACGAAAACTAAAATATGGAATTTGAAGGTATTTTTAGAAGCAACGATTTCTATTGTGATTATTAATAATCAAACAATTTTTTTGACTACAAAAGGATTAAATAACCAAATTGAAAAATTCAACATTCTTCAAGATGAAATGGATAAAGTCGAACAAATACGACAACGTTTACGTGATAGAACCAAAGAATTGGAAAAGAAGTTTATGAACAAAGATATGTGAATCAGATATCTACATTGACTGAAGAGAATCTGAAGCTGATGTTGGATGTACATCTACTTTCCTATCAATGTGATTTATTAACTTTTAATAATAATAACAATAATAATCGAAATGCACAAAACAATCCATATGGATATGGACCATCAAGATTCAATAATCCTTATATGAATCGTATGGTTCCATCACGTCCACTTATTGCCATTCCTGATATGATAGCTGGTCCATCATTCATGATCAATCGAAATCAAGTTGAACCATGTTTAGATATTGATAACAATATTTTGTCAAGACGATTACCACATTCAAATCAGATTGCGGCCACTTTACAACCATGTAAATTGATTTCATCCAATACTAATACTACTACTAATAATAATAATAATCAAAAATCACCACCATTACCACCAAGACCAAATCGACAACAACATCCATCTCGATCACCACCACCACCACCACCACCATCGTCTTCTCAATACAAATCAGGAGGTCATGATCATCATCGTCATCCAATGATGATGACCAATGATAGTCAACAACGTAAATGGAAATGTGCCCGTTGTACATTTGAAAATAGCGAAAGTCTTAACAAATGTGAAGTCTGTGAATTTGCACGATTAGTACCGCCATTAGATACGATCATAACGAATAATCTGGATTCATTACATACATTGGCCGATTCCAAACATTCACCAACATCACCATCGCCGCCAACACATGGACATCACGGTAAAAAATGGAACAAACGACATAATCATTGAATCAGCGGATGAATTTTTTTTTTAGATAACAAACAAAACATACAAAACCAGTGCCTTGTTACGTTACAACATTCAACCCATATCCAATTTACCTTCCAATCGTTGATAATGGATGTAGCAATGAAACGATGAAAGAGAATACAATAAATAAATTAAATCTTAATTCATCCATTTGATTGTCGTAATTTGACTCCTCGATATTGATATTCTGGATCTTTCTTTCTCAGTTGCCAACACAGCTAACCATTTACGTTCATGTTCATTTTGCAGAATCGGACAAAAACTAATTGAATATGTTTCTTTTCGTTTTCACTTCATATATATCAATTGATAGCGATTGACATTAATTGTGTGCAAGCCAAATAGTATCACAAAGAATCTATTTATTTGTCAAAAAAAAATTGCCACTTTGTGTGTGTATGTGTGTTCTGGTTGGTCTCTGAAACAACAGCAGAGTACATTCAGCTGACACACATTAGCTGAAACAAAGTTTCATGTTATTCAAGCTCATAACAATGGCGGATCAAAGAGAGAGAGAGAGAAAATCAAATTCGTAGCCAGAATGCATTAATTACCAGAATAACAGCAATGTTCGGAATAGGCGGTTGGAACAAGAATCAAATTTGTATGAGTCAAAATTAAATCGTTTTGGTTCATTGAATGAATGACATTACAATCATTATCACGATCATAATAATCAATGACATGTTTGGCCATCAATTTTCTGTTTGATTTGAACCCATATTCTTGAGAATTTTGCAATAAATTAAAGAAACGATGAAAAAGACAACAACAAGATGAAAAGTAAATAAAACTAATGATATGATATGATTCTAGTGGAATGTGAAATGAAATGATGACAATGAAAATAAATAAATGAAATTATTATATTTCTTTTAATTTTGATTTAGCTTCTATTTTTTTTCTCCTTCTCTTTCTTCTTTTATTCTTTATTCTTTGTTGATGATGGATTTTTTATTTTAATCAATATATCGTTACAACAGAATATATGTGACTGGAAAATGCAATCACTTGTCTAAGGGCTTTAAGTCAATCGGTCAATTAATGATTCAATGTGTTTAAATGAAAGCATTTTTGAGTTGGCCATACTAGCAGCCACTATAAATAATGAAAAAAAAAATTGTTACTGTAACATCATCATCATAATCGATAACATTGGTAAATAATGACGATAATAATATTAAAAGTTGCAAATAGCTTTGGGCGTTATTATAATTCATAACAGTCAAGATTATTTATTTGTCAAGACTGTTATTTTTTTTTGGCCAGATAGCAGGAAAAACTCAATAACAATGTGTGTGTGTGTGTGTATGATACAATTTATAGATTTGAGTTTGCACATTTAAAGCGATCTAATCTCAATGCAATTAAATCCATCGGAACAATTGGGCCTATCAATCAATTAAGCCATCCAGCCATCTAGCCAGCCACCACCACCACCATTAAACAATGGCAGCTTGATAAGTGAACACATAAATTTGCAAGGCTAGTATAAACGATTCATACAGCATCATTTAACAAAATTCTTATATAATTCCACTATATATATAACTTAATTGCTTTTATATATTTTGGGCTTTTCAGTTAGAGTTCGGGGAGAGAGAGAAAGAGAGAAAATTATAGTTACAGTATAAAAGCAATTAATGAAACAACAACAACAACAACAAAATGAATAGGAAACCACCACCATCACCAGTGCCAAAGGAATTAACTATAGTTATATATACTTGGAACCCGAATGGGAAAAGAAAAAAAAAGAGAAAAAAATTTTCATTTCATTTAGGCGCTGTTTTAACAAAACGATTTCAAGTGAGAGGAGATTTTTCTTACCATGTTCATAATAAAGTTAAATAAAATGTTACCCACCACCACCACCACCACCAATGTGACTATATTGATTGGATCGGTTTTTTTTTTGATTCACAATTCTAAACACTTAAATCGTTTATATAATACATGTTCGACGGATACAGCTGTGATGTGCGTGTTATTCTAAAATCATTCATTTTTGCATGAATCTTATTAACAATTATTATTTACAACAACAATCACATGAACATTCCATAGTGACAGTCGCTACTAAAGAGACATGCACAGAAATACACTCTATATTTACATTTAATTGAATTTAATTTATATTTATAATACAGACACATCATTTGTTTGCAATTTTCATTTATAATTAATATACAACGAACAATGTTTTTTTTTTGTTTTATTTCTGCATTCAAACATTTTATCATCATCGACAATCGACAAAAATCGGCATAATTTATTTATTATTAATTACAAATACTTGGCCAATAAACGATAACGTCAATTTTGGAATGGAATGGAAACAAACAAAAAAAAAATCGTCATCATTTTTTTTTGATTGACGATTTCATTCAGAGCAATAAATGCATTGTAGAATTCTAGATTCATCGAGAGCAAATTATCAGTCTATTAATATTTTTAATAATAATAAAAAAATATATAAGCAACCATAGCAAGCAAATATTTGGAGAATATGATATAATATATAATAGAATCAAATGAAAGTGCAATCAAATATAAAAAAAAGAAGAAAAACTATTGAGCTACTAATTACATGATGATGATGATGATTAAATATAATTGCCATTTTTCTATGTAATAATCATTATCATGAATGATTGGATTGATGATGATCATCATATTGATCATTGATTAACAATCAAATAATGATCAATAACAACAACAATGACAATGGTTAGATGGTGTTAAATACAAAACAATTTATTCCAGCCAAAAATCAATTCATTATTGGTTATAGCCAATATCTTTGTTGTTGTTGTTGTTGTTAAATTCAATTTCTGAATTGTTTTATTTTCTTTTTCATGGCTCTCAAAAATCATCATTGCAACAATCAATTCATGGATGAATAAGTCGTTGCATTGATGTATGGGGGGAAAAAATTCGGAAAGATTCCGTATGTCATTCGTAATTCACTACGTAAAAAGATTCACGCGTACACCACATGTATTGATTCTCACACACACACACACACACACATAAAAAGACTGACATTATATTCGTGATATATATCCACTATACCATCATCACATAACGGATAACAATATATATATAAAAAAACGCCAGCTGATGTGATGAGAAAAAAAAGGCCAAAATTTCACTATAGTTAAGTTTTTTTGTGAATGCAAAAACAAAAAATTCAGTTCGGTTTTGTTTTTACATTCACATTGGGGGGAGGGGTGAAATTCATTCAAACCATTTCGTCGTCCACACCATTATTTGTATGCCCAGGCCAAATGTTCAAATTCAATATATATCAACATTATGTTGTCATGTTTCAAACAATAATGATAAAATAACAATAACAATATAACAGCAACATGGATATAGATATAGATGGAATGAGAATGGAAAAAACATGTTACCATTTTTTTTTGCCGTTCATTCAAAAAAAAAAAAAAAAATTATTCTCAACAATAATAATAATACGATTTTGATCATTTTTTTTTTTGCTGTCTGTTTTGCTTTTCGAATACTAATCATTTGAAATTGTTTCAATTTTGAAATCATTCAGTCAAAAAAAAAAATTTTGTTCACCTTCAAAACAAAAAAAAAATGGAAAGAGTTTAATAATTTTCAAACGAAAAAGAAAAAAAATCAGAATTTTAATCTAATTTACATCCAATCGTAAGTTGGTAGATGTTTTCATTCGATTGTCTTTTTTTATTATTCATATACACACACATGCACATTAATAATGAGATGTGTGTAATGTTCGAAATGTTCAGAAAAAAAAAAAAAATGCAATCAATTGCAAATTCCCAATTGTAAATATTATCAAAAAAAAAAAACTTCAACTGGTAAATATTTGTCGATAAAATCAAGCAATGATTTTATGTGATGGGATGTGATGGGGCCCATACACGAATGAATGAATGAATGAACGAATCGAATCTCGATATAAAATGAAATGAAATGAAATGGAATCGTAACAATAAAAAAAATGCATTCAATATGAAATGGCCTTTTTGTTGTTGTTGTTGTCATCAATATGCACAATACATTTTATTTTTTTTTTTCGTCCATAAATTCCAACAACCCGGAATTATTATTATTATTATTATTGTCGTCATCGTTGTGTTTTATGAGCAATTTATCATTTATAAAATATTGAATTGGATCATCACATAGTTTGTTGTTGTTTTTGTCTGATTTTGATGATCCAATAAATAGGATAATAAATTGTCGATTGTAAATTTTACATAAATAAATATAGCATTTATATGATGTAAACAACAACATTTTCATTCAATCATTCATCCAATGTTGTTAGATTGACAATACAAATTATTGGATAAACTTGACAACATTAATAATTACAATGACGTAATTGAGGTGTTTATTGTTTGTTTGTTTGTTTGTTTGGGTGAAAGTGAAAGATATATGCATGCACAGAAAAAAAAACATCCACCTACACATACATGCTTAAATAGAATATATAAATGATGATGATGATTATCATTGTCATATGATCATCGTCATTATAAATGTGTGTGTGTGCATGTCAAAAATTTTGTCAAAACAAAATTCGTTGTCGTTGTTTGCCAATAGGAATTTCAATGTCGAATCATCATCATTAGGATATTTTTTTTTCATTGCTTTTCACACCCTAAACATTATTATTCTCATTATAATGGAAAAAATGGTGTTTGAAATTATTAATTGTTTTAAATCTTCATTAATTATCATCACCATCATAAACAACAATAACAACAACATGACGTAATTGAGGTGTTTATTGTTTGTTTGTTTGTTTGTTTGGGTGAAAGTGAAAGATATATGCATGCACAGAAAAAAAAACATCCACCTACACATACATGCTTAAATAGAATATAAATGATGATGATTATCATTGTCATATGATCATCGTCATTATAAATGTGTGTGTGTGCATGTCAAAAATTTTGTCAAAACAAAATTCGTTGTCGTTGTTTGCCAATAGGAATTTCAATGTCGAATCATCATCATTAGGATATTTTTTTTTCATTGCTTTTCACACCCTAAACATTATTATTCTCATTATAATGGAAAAAAATAGAAAAAATGGTGTTTGAAATTATTAATTGTTTTAAATCTTCATTAATTATCATCACCAT